AATGAAGACTTTGGAGTGGCCTAGTCAAAGTCCCGACCTGAATCCGATTGAGATGCTGTGGCATGACCTTAAAAAGGCGGTTCATGCTCGAAAACCCTCCAATGTGGCTGAATTACAACAATTCTGCAAAGATGAGTGGGCCAAAATTCCTCTACAGCGCTGTAAAAGACTCATTGCCAGTTATCGCAAACGCTTGATTGCAGTTGTTGCTGCTAAGGGTGATCCAACCAGTTATTAGGTTTAGGGGGCAATCACTTTTTCACACAGGGCCATGTAGGTTTGGATTTTTTTTCCCCCTTGATAATAAAAACCTTCATTTAAAAACTGCATTTTGTGTTTACTTGTGTTATCTTTGTCTAATATTTAAATTTGTTTGATGATCTGAAACATTTAAGTGTGACAAAAAAAAGTGTGGCAAAAAAATAAGAAATCAGGAAGGGGGCAAACACTTTTTCACACAACTGTATATTTATGTGTGTGTGTCTGTCTATATAACAGGTTATGCTTCTCTAGAGAAAAAAACAATTCATGTTCATAAATACCTTCGCTGTGTGCTCGTATGGGTGTCCATATAATGCATCCCGCCGAGCTCCCCATTTATTTTTTTTCAAAAGTGTATTTTGGATCATTGTTGTACATTTCGGCTAATAGACCCCCCCCTCGGTTGCCGTGGCAACACGCAGGTAAGTGGAAAGGAGTGCTCAGTTCGCCACGCAGCATGAAGCCCATTTCTAAAACTGTTGACCTATAAAAGCATACACCCACCATCACGAGGAGGCTACCAGAGCCATATGTGTTTCTGACTCCTTATGTGTGTGTTTGAAGACAGCAAAAGCAGAAAAAAAATCAATAAGCATCAATAATCCAGGGTTGTTTTTATATATATATATATATATATATATATATATATATATACAGGGCATGTGTTGTCTTTGTCCAAGCTTTTGTGTGTGTGTGTGTGTGTATGTCTCTCACAGTTTGCTCCACAAGTCCAGAGTCTTCTAAATGACAGCACATACTGCGTAGCGCGGACTCTGAGGTTTGGGAAGTAAACACAAATCTGTCTACTTCTGTCTCTCAGGAAATGTCTCCTACCCTGCATCTATCTTCCTCCGTCTATCGCACCAACTCCCTTTTCCCAACTTCATCACTCCCTTCTTCACCCTCCTCCCGTCTCCTCCTCCATCCTCCCATGTTCTGTTGCCGTCTTTGCTGAATTACGTTCCCGTTCTTCGTCTCCATCCTCCCTCTCTCCTTTTGTCTGCTGAGTTGTCACTCACCCTTCGCTTACAACAACACCCCCCCCACACACACACACACACCCACTGTTGCTTTGGGTCACCCCTTTACCTCACCATTCTCCCTTCATCCTCTCTTGTTTCTCCCCCCCCCCCTCGGGGCTTTGCTGCGTCTGATCCATCAGAAGCTCCAGACAGCTGTCTATTCCCTGCAGGCGGGGCCATCAGAGACGGTGACCATATGAGGGGGGGGGGGGGAGCGATCGCGCTCAGTCGGTCTCTTATTGTGTTGTATCCTCTTTTCACTTTTTGAGCACATTTTCCCTGAAACACTTCTTGTATAGCCTTTCCTTTTGGTTGCATTCATTTTTGCTCACTGAATGTTACAGGCCGGCAGTACACAAGCTGCTCTGCTTGTGGTGGGAAGGGGGGGGGGGACCAGACCGCAGACACAAGGTGTGTATCGAGGGATCATTAGGGACGGTTGCACATCTCAGCTGTATTGTTTGGGCTGTTTTTTTAACTCAAAATGTTGTCTTTTAAAGAGAATTGAGGCCACCAGGTATTTTAGTCTTGGTTATTTTTGTATGCATGGCAGAGAACACTTGAGACAACAACGAAAAAGAAACATTTTGTTGGTTATTATGGGATATTAATTGTCAGTGCTTCAGTTTGATATTTCTCACTTTCAACATTCTATAACACTTTCAGAATAGACCACAGTGTGTTAAGACTTATGTCTCACTATTTTAGTGCAGGTATCATTTTAAAGCTGCACTATATCAATATTACATGACTTTAGGGTTCAAATGCGATGTTAAAGCGGGTCAATGGTGGAGACGAACCCTCTCACTGCTGTCGTCGGAGTTGCTTCCAGCAGCTGCTTTATAGTGAAAGACCCCGCTGCACGCTACCTGCACAGCACCAAATGGCATCTAGTTAGCTGGGGGGGGGGGGGCTTGGCAGAGCATTCAGCAGCTAATGAGCTGTATTTTTAAAAAGCAGGAGTCAGTGTGTTTGATTTCTCATTGAGTATAAAATGTCCACTTGTAAGCTTTGCAAATCCCACCGACATATCTGACGGCAAATACTTGGAGGAGCTTAACAAGTCCATTGTTGGGAAACATACAGATTCATCAAGTTAAGATTAAGTTTAATGGTCGTGCAATAAGATCTGCAAAGTATTTCCTGCGACACCGACCTCGAGAGCAGCGGACTTTGTAGAAGACAGAGTGTGTCAAACTGCTGATTTTAGAAGCACATACTTGCTAATTTCATAGAAAAATTGAATAAAGTATTTTTTCCCACCGGCACGCATTGGTTGGCTTGGGCGGATCAATCAGGCTGTTGTCTGTGCCGCTGCTGGAGAATCCCGTCTAGTCAGTGTCTTTAAGCTCCATTGTCCCCCATTAATCAGAGAGTGAGTCATTATAAGAATCCTTCAGACAGAGGTCTTATTGTATGTAACCTGTCGCTTTTCTCATTTCTCCCTTCAAGGTGAATTCCATTACTGTATACGGTGCAAAGATGATTAATTGGTGGGTTTGTGTGATGAGTGTGAGTAATTGTCCCAGTCATTAAAATTCCATTCAATGTTTTACAAAGTAAAGGTGGAGGGGGGGTAAATCTATGAATCTATTTTGCCAACATTTGTGTTTGTCAGAGTTTAAATGGAGACATAAAGTTGCAGAAAAGACAGCTTGGATCTTTTTTGCATCAGTTGTGTATGTGTCTATAGACACTGGCATCACATTCACTTTGGCATTCCAGTGATGCCAAAATGTAAAATACTTTATTACCCTCTCCCTTCTGTTAGTCTCTCTCCGCCCCTTTGCTCACCCAGGTCTGTGGCATTTGGGCCGTCGGACCGTAACCTCGGCCGGTTGTTTGGTCTGTCCGAGAACGATAAGCTCTCTAAAACATGTCAATAGTGCTGCTGGCAGGAGACCGATGCAGAGGACCGCAAACTGGCCCCTAGCCGACCAGACTCATCACCGAGTCCTGCTGAAGTCAGTGGCAGTCATTTATTTACTGTGCTACCATTCTCAAAAAAAAAAAATGTATAAACCTAGACTGACTTTGACAGATTGGAGTTTTATACAAGTATGTGTTTACAAGCAGAGCTGTCGCCGTTTGTTGAGCTGAACCTCCGTGAATATACGCCAAAGAAGCTTTAGGCATCGCAAATTAGCTGACTGGCAAACTTGGACGGCAGATAGAAAATAAATTGAATATAAAACAAAATGCAAATGAAAAATGATTTGGAGTTTGAAAAACTCTCTCTCAATTTCTGAGACTTCATTTTCCGATGCTTTTAGCTTACTTAGTGGATGTGGTTTGGTCAGTTGTCATGGAGATAGCTCGGTTGTTAGTTTGACCCACGGGATCAGTCTTAAAGCTAGAGAGAAAATACTGGTATCATATGAAACTATACAACCCAATTAATATCCTCGGTACCCAACATGCCTCTAAATAAGGTCCTGTAAAACGTCGCTCCTCTCCTCTGTGATGCCGGCGTCTAGAATCACACATTTTATCTCAAATATAAACTTACACTCAGCCGTTGTTTGTGTGGAAAAAAAGCCAATGGGACGATGTTATCAGCGGTAACCGCAGACTGAGCGCAGTGCAAAGCAGCGGCTGTTAGCTAGCCAGTGGGGCGCGACAAAGAGACTCACATGCACTAAAAATACACAAAAAATGCACTAAAAGCACGTGCGGCAGGCACGGCTACCTCAACAACGTACAGGAAGACTTCATTTCCTGCTCAGGTAGATCTCACTCCACTATATCCTCACATATATAATAGGCCTTTGCTGCTATATTAACGCTCTGGATCCCATACACAGAACCTTTAAAAATCATGACGTCATGTAACTGATCTTGCAAATTTTCACTTCCAGATCCTTTTTAATATAAAGTCCCTCCTTCCGACAGAAGGGGGATCAGGAGTGGTTTAGATCAGCTGCTATCTGCTGCGGCTACAAAGCTATGAACTAAACAGAAACCAACAACCAATCACATCGTGGATCTTTTTACTGACAAACGTGCTGCTGTGTATCAGCTACAGCTTCTGATGCATGCGTTACTGTGAAGAAGCGCTTCCCTGCAGCCTGTCTGATGAGATGTCTGATCCTTGCAATTAAGCGGGTTCAAACTTGGCTCATGGCTTCTCTGACCTCCCATCTCTCTGCCTCCCAGCATTCCTTTCACTCCTCAGAATACAGTGTGTTATCCAACACTGCAGAGAGAGATACAACAAAGAATACAATGCAGTCTCCCCTTTTATTATGTAAAGAAATAAAGTGCTTTCTTCCATCCACATGTAACCAAGCAGAAAATATGAGCAGATTCTGTCAATAACCAAAGTTATATTGACTTCCCTTTAGTCGGCTTTTTTTGTGACATATGAAAAACTCATCACTACTTAAGTGACGCGAGCTCAGTGTGCAGTGATGCTGATCTGACCTCTCAAACTCTGGTGTAACAACATAATAGATGAGGCCATTTAAACGTGGTGAGTCTATACACACTGCATTAGTGAGATGACTCATGCAGCGTTGTTTTCCACCGCAGCCATCAATAAACATGGAACGAGAGACGGATAGGGGGATTCGTATTATTCTCACTTTGCCCGTCTCGAGAAATTATTCATGTGCATAATTTCTTTCATCAATACGATTCAACAACCTGAACCGAAAAAGAAGGAGGGCAGAAATGTCTCATTGACACAAAAGACAGGATGCTGTTGGGGGGACTTACGAGAGGGTCCTCTCCATCCGCCCTGCTGTGGAGCCGATGATTTCTCCGAGGGTACAGAAGGTCTGGCCCAGAAAGTCCTTGGAGGTGGGGGGGAGATAGAAGAGAGAGAATTAATTACATGACCAAGATGTAGTCCAGCCATTTACAGTACAGAAAAGACCATAACTTTGGAATATATATCCACTTAATTTGTTGAATTCAGACTTCTGAAACGTGGTCTTCAGCTAAACTTTAGAATGTGTTTATGCCCAAGAACTAGGATTGTGTCCCCTCATCACTTACATTGAAATCACTTTTAGAAGGGATTTCTTGATGGCCTGTATGGACAGAACGAACAATCGCAGCAAGTAAAACCTGTCTCAATCTTCATAAGCACACCCGACTATTGTTTTACGATGAACTTGAAAAAACTTGAACATGTCCTTTAATCACATCTTGGTGTTGCCACGGTGCGATGCTTAATTCCTCAGATCTACACCACAGCGTGCTCAGTTTGTTACAGATTCCCATTCATTTCTGGAGCTCTCAAACTTCTTTTTAACATATTAGTTCATAAGTTGTTAGCATGGGGAAAGCAGCTCATTAAAGTACATGAACATTAAACTAATTACTCTACACATTTCTGGGCCTGGTGTGCTTTTCATAAACTGAAGATAAAATCCGTGGGGATAGCAATAAAGATATTAGAGTTATTAAAGTTCCATCAAAGTGTAATTTCATCTTACTTAAGTGTCACTATGAATTACATTTTCAATTTAGGGTTTAATTCCGCCTTTTATACAAGCACGCATTAAGCCAACTAGGTCAAGCCCATGAAGTCCTGGTGGGGTTCCTTATTCAGGTTGCTTGTTGACTGATTGTTCTTAAAAAGCACCAGACTGCGCATAAGGCAAGTCCTCACGGTCAAAAAAGAACTTCAACCAGCATTTTTCATTGAACGACAGAGTTTGAAAACAGCCGCACAACGCTACAGAGGAAAAACACATGGCAGCATAAAAAAAAGCTGAGATGACACGACACAATTTCACTCGAGGGCAGAGAGCAGGTGTGGGCGGGAGTCCCACAAAGCTGAATATGTTTGTGGCTGCTGTTAATGTCCGACGTGCACAATCTGCCGCGGTCCTGAACAACGGCAGCAGCTGCTTTCACTTTGAAGCTGTGTTCTGAAAGTTGCTGTACCTGAGCGAGCGATGAAAGGCAGACAGACAAAATGAACAAGAGTACGTGGGAAGCTTTCCGCTGGTGTTTTGCCCTTGATGAAATGAAAGAATGGGAGAAAAAAATATGATGAAATTAAAGTGAATGATATAAAAGACTCTTCTCGGGACACTGGAATGTATTGGAAAATAAAAAAAGGAAGATGAATGAAGGATAGGCAATTATAATAGCAGGACTCATAAGGATAACGCTATCTGCATACACCACTCACCTTCTGCTCTCCCACATGAGTTGATTTGTTGAGAAGGAAAAAATAAAGCTTAGTCACAAGATGGATTTGCATTATAGGCCCTCTAAACACCAAATAGATTTATTCATGCCAAATCATCATCAGCCGCTGACCTCATTCACTGTAAATTAGCTTTAGCGGTGTGAGTAACGCTGAATACAATGCGATACATTTGGAGGGCTGATGGAAGTTCAACGCTGAGTAATTTGAGTTTGACAAATTGTGCTTACGTGTTTGGATATGTTGCAGCTTCTGGAGTCCACATTGTATCTGGGGGGGGGGAATAGGACGATATAAGATTGGAAGAACTTGTGACATTGCATTATAAAGGATTTTGTACAGATTCACTGGTATTAGTCTTGAAAAAAACTGAACCTTTTACTTCCAAAAGCAACAATTCCATTGATTCATTTTTTTTGTTGGGCAACAACACATTAAAGTCAAAATATTTTATCTATTTTGCCCTTACTAATCCAAGTATCTATTACCTCAACATGGGTGATCAGTATATTTGCTGACTTAGTTAGGGCGGGCTAATGTTGTCTCTGTATGGAGTGCTCCACCTGGTCCCGCCCAGCTGTGCTGTGACTGGGTAGTACTGGCTGGTAATACTGTGATGTGATTGACGGATTATCTGGCAATAGAAATTTGAGTGTCTAAATATAAATATTGACAATAATGTGTGGATGAAGGAAATTCAATTGTATCCATTTATGCCGTCGCCTATACTTAACTAGCTAGCTTGCTAGTTCCACCATGCTTTCATGCTACATTGGTCACAGAGAATGAGCAAGACATAGTTGTTCTGGTGTTACAGTGCTTTCCTACACTGTGATAAGAGTAGGTGGCTAAAGCATTCATTTGTTTGATTTTGTATCATTTGGCTAGTTAGATAGCTATTTGCTTATTGCACTTTCATAACCCTTTCTGCCAGAAATCTCCGAGGTAGGCCACTTGGTTAGTTTAAATAAAAAAAATCATAGTTCGGTTTAAAATAATCCCTTTCTGGCAAAAAGCCCTAAAATCATTCAATCTTCCATGTGTAAAATGAGCGGAACAGTCTACCGAGCTAACAAGTAGCCAATCACAGCCCAGTAGGGCGGGACTAGAACAAAATAAATGACCCCTCATTATGTTCGGTGGAGAGACTGGTGCAGAGTCAAACAATAGAACGTATCCAACTAGTGATAGTTTTTTTTCCTACCGTGGCTAAGTTATGACCTGCCCTACTCGGCCTCTGATTGGCTAATGCTGCATTTACACCAAATCGGGCGTCGTGGCGAATAGGGCAAGGTTGTGCGGCGGCATGGGAGCATCACTTATGGCCCGTTAACAGCACGTCATTTTACGTCTTTAGTTCTCTCACAGCTGTGTTGTACAGATCTGGATCGCCTGTCACGTGATTGGCCACTGCAGCGTGATGTTGCATTTCTCCAAAAGTTTATTCTGTTTCAACTTTTCGCTACAAGTGGGGTGAAAACTTTTAACTAATAGATATCACCATGAAACTTCCCCTGTTGATTTCATTCATTAAGACAGTTATCCTTTGTATTACAAGTTTTCTTAAATGTTATGTTTAAATATGCAAATTAGGCGTTATCTAATGCAAACTTGTGGTGAATTTAGGAGAAATCTATCGGCATAACAGACTAAGTTTGGATGTTTTCTTTCTTCAAGTTGTGAAGGAAAATATGGCAGGAAATCTAATAAATTGGCCAATGCATGACAAATGATGAGGCCTGGTGTGTCTCATCTCAAAAGACCCAAGAATAAAAGAAAATCTGAAAGAAATTCTCCTGTAGTATCTGGGTTATTTCATAGAGCCTATTTTATAAAAACAAATAGGAAATGATCCTGCAAAGCAGTTTGAAATTATGTATACAACACCAGCATAATGGTGTCACCACAAACAATGTTCCTGTTCCGGGAACAGACTATACAATCTTCTGACACCCAGACCCCACTGAGCAATAAAAACACAGCTACAGAGGCATTTAAGTGATATCTCCGTGTTATTGATTAAGAATAACGGGTATGCAGACACTTATTTAATCAGTGGGGCAATCACGCAACCTTGGCAAGTGACCTTTTTTTAAATATCCTTTCATGATTGGACATCCCAGCATTTAATCTAATCTGTGATTGGTCTGATCACTTATCCTGATCAGGCAAAAGTAGCTTTTCACCAAACAGAAGACCTGCAGAGAGGGAAATTATTCAAATGCAATCAAAGGCGTTGCTATTTTTGGGTGGTTACTATGAATCCGTAGCACAGCAGAATGTATCCAAATTTAAAATGAAATGAGTCGAGATTCATTCAGATAAGAGTTAATGAAATGCTGTCAAGAATACTTACACATCAAAGCGTAGATTTTGTTTCTCTTCAAAGAAGAAATCCAGGACAAACTTTCTGACGAAATCCGGATTCCTAGTGTTATCGATTACCTCTGTCCTGCCAGACTACAAAAGCAGAGTGATAATAGCAGCATTGATTCACGAGCCAATGCATGTTATTAAGCTCCCATCAAGAAAAATACACCAGAGAAAGATGTGAATACAATTAATGAGATTCAGCAGCAACAAATATTACCATCGGACCATTTCAGGATTTGGAATCCATAAATATGAATTTCCTTTCTTAAGAATACGGCCACACTGTATCACACTGAGCTTCATTGTGCTATGTGCTAACTCCTTTGTCCCAAGAGAAATCAGAAAGCTAAATTATTAAATTATAGCTACATTTGACTCGGGTCACAGAGTCCCAGGTCCAGCCTCCCTCCGGGTCCGTCTCTCCATCGCCCTGAAAATCTCACCGGTAACCCCCAGTGGACTAGAAGCCTCACCTTCGCGGCCCGGCCTCAACAGCACCGTGTAATGAGCTATTGATCTTGGTGCTGCCAATACCTCAACTCACATCTTTAGTGCCCAGCGCACATAATCCGGGCTATCAACCGCGACCCCGAGCCCAGCCATTACCAAAGCCGCGTAAGGGGCCGCCGAGCTGACCAGGCGTATCGACCCGACGACAAAATCCCATGATATTTCCCCTTTGTGTTTCTATTTTTGTGGCAGGGGACCTTTGGTTCATAATCCCAGTTAGGCTTGATTGGTAGGTGCTGGGGCGTGTGTGAAGGTTAGGGAATTGCTTTGTAACTGGAAAGGCAATCATTGGTTTCAGCAAAGGCTATATACATAGGTCTATCAAATGAGTCTGTTAATAGCCTGTATTTCTCTCAACTATCTCTAATCTGCCCCTTTGATTTGCTGTTCTCCAGCTAACCTCTGAGGAGAAACATTTAAATAACAACAGAAGCAGTGCACAAAAGGAGGATTTGTGATTTAAGTTTTTTTGTGCACAGTTGTTGTGTGTTGACTGGTAAAAGAGTTTCATTCTTTGTGTTCGGGTAAATAAAATGGAGTTCATGCAGACCACAATACAATAGTTGCTGAGGAAATCTGCAGGTCTGGCAACTAGGTGTGTCATACAGCTTATTTACGAGGTGGTACAGTTAAAAGTATTGCCGCCCTATCATATCAATGATGCATGGTATAGTAATTGGATAGCAAGATGTTTGGCTCTAGAAGCCTGGTGACATGGGGACTGTTTGTGAACTGCTTCAGTTGGAGAGCTAACCGTTAACACGCTAGCCAGCCCAGATATGCTAACAGTCACAATTCGGCTTTGTGGCGCACTTTATACTCTGACAGAGGGGTTTGAAGGTTAGCAGTATCGAGTTTGATCGGTTTGCTATCGAATGATAACGCAAATTGAAAAGTAGTTGTCTGTAGTCCCCCATGGGCCACCACGGATGATTTGTGAGCGCCAGCGAGTGGAGGATCAGATCCATCGGCTGGGAAGAAAAGAATGTCCTGTGATCAGGAAACAAATTAGTGCACACCCTGATGCAGCAGGGACAGCCATAGAAGAAGCACACAATTACAAAAACCTCCCGCAAAAAAGAATCACTCCACAACGGAGGATGGAAGATGAACTAGCTGGAGACATCATGTTGGGTAGAGCGATTTAGAACAAATGCTACTTGCACCGATTGATTTGTTTTTTGAATGCAAATGCACGATTTGTCCCTCAAAGGACGAAATTTAATTTACAAATGACATACCGAGTATTGCCATGGTGCTAAAAAGCAACAACGTTCAAGCACAATTATCTGTTCACGGCGTGCACGGCTGACAGCGCGATGTTTACTCTGCTGATTGCTGTGCAATTCATGCCGTGTTTTTTGACAAAGCCCCGCCACGAGGAATCAAAAAGGTGTGAGGTGTCTCTCGAAGTGAGCGGATCAGCTACGACAAAGCTCGCACCGACACATCAGTGTTGACTTTGAATTTGCAAATGGGTAAATACACAGACTAAAGACGGAATGTCATAGATGGGAGGGGAAACGAGGCTAAGAGATGATGTGGAAATCTGTGCTGGGGAGACGTAACAAAAAAGGGAAGAAATTCAAAGAAGCAGCATCGAATGGAAAGTCACCTTTCCCCATCTTAAAAAAAAAAGAACAGAGTGACAGAGGGGCGAGACGGAAAGAAGTCGTGAGGAGCAGTTGGTGCATATTTGATGAGACCGAAAAAGGAATCTCAATGATATGAATTACTTTTGTCAAGCATCAGAAACTTTAATTAATGAGATTCTTTTTTAACTATTTATTCCTTAACCTTTACTATTAATTCATCAGTTTGGGTCAGAAATATAATTTTTTTTTCAGACAGTGGTTACACTCCTATGGGCAAGCGAAGAGGTTGACACTTTCAATTTTCTACAGCAATTTTCTGAGGGGTTTGCAGTGAGTTGCCTCTGGACTTCATCTTAATAACCCCCCGCCCCCTCCTCTCTAATACCTGACTGAAGGTAACTAACATCAAGGAAAACTCTTAAAGTTGATAATTTAGCATTCCTAAAAGAAGAAAAACACCCACATATGTGGCAGCCGGGTAGACATTTATTGGTTGCTAAAGGTTACTCAACTTACCTCTCTCCATTCTTTGGTTCCCACGGCCTGCAAATATAACACGACCACTGGAAGGAAGAAAAAGGAAGAAGGGGAAGTTTGAGGAAAATAGGAAGAAAAAAAATGACGACATTCAATTTTAATGATTGGTCTGATGGTTTGTACATTTTATGCACCTGCAGGATATCCAATCACTTGGGGAAGAAAATCAATGAGACCCACATCTATTTTCATTCGATCTATCGTAGCTAAAAGCATAGCTATATCATCTATAATTAACACTGTCACCCTAAATATGTCAAAACAGGAGTTCAGTTAAACTTTAAAATAATTAACACAATATATGTTCTTGGGCTCATTCTCACTTCCCATACCTGCATAACAATGCAGGAGTAATCAATCTCTACGTTTCCTGCCTCGCAGATATGCTGTCACCACCTTCAGCCGGGCCTCTCCCCGGCCGTCAATATATATAATTAAAAATAGGCAGAACTGCTGTGTATAGGGTATTATTCTCAGGATAGCCCGGGTCTCTCACTGCTAACTGTCCTCCGAAGACTAATGACGGAATCAGTCGTTTCAGCAAACGCCCCAAAACGGCGTGTTCACGATTGGCTGACAGAGCCCCATAGCCACCATGGTAATTATGACCCCTGTCCGTTGGGGGTTGAGGAGGTCATCAGGTGACCTTATTATAGACAATGCCGACAACATAAGAGAGAACTGTTCATTGCCCGTTTCCTAGCATCAGTCAACTTTGGTGCCTCTTAACCCAGACCATGATCATTCCCTAAACCTAAGCAAACCGTAACCACAGCGCTGTCACGTTATCAAACGGATTTACTTTGCAACAGTGGTTTTACAGATTTCTTGAAGGCACGGACAAATGATCCTGCTGATGGTGGTGTCCAATCCGAAAGAAAATGACAGTTCGCTGTTAAAGGCGAGTCACAAATGGACTTTTGGAACAGCGTGGATCTGCAGAGGTAATGTCGGTCTGATGAAAATATCTCAACCATTGGACTGCCAGAAAATGTGTTTACAGACATTGATGGTCCCCAGAAGATGAATTCTACCGACTTCGGTGATTCTTTGCCTTGTGTGCAGATGATGACCCTAATAACAATGGTGACCCCCTGACTTTTCATCTACTGACAACAGGTCTAAATTCTCACATATCCAGTAAAGTTGCTCTACATCTACAAGATAGACTGGCCCCAAATTTTGATACAGATATTCTTGTTCCCCAGATGATGAATTTTGGTGACCGACCTTTTGGTTAATACCTTTTCAAAATATTGGCATTCCGAACAGCCTCAACAATACATTGTGTTTAATGTTACTTAATGTATTAACATGCTAGTAACACATTTAACTGAAATATTACATGTTATGATGTTTATATCAGTAAATAGATAGACAAAAGAATAGATTACAACATAGACAACAATAGACTACAAATGTTGGATGTAATAACTGTAAGAATGATTCAGTAAAAAAACAAGGAAATACTTTTGAAGGCTTACATCACGAAACATATGACCTGAACAATGTTGCCAGCAAAGTATTTATTTTATCTGTCTGACTTTTTATTATTATTATTATTATTATTACCACCCTCTGACCAATGAGAGAGACCAATTAGAGATGGAAAAGACGTTTTTCTCCTGAGCTTTTATCTACCGAGCAATTTGGTTTTCTTTGCGCTAGCAGCAGGCTCATCTTTTCGCTTCGCAGCTGCTAAAACGATCGGTAGTCTCTGGATGAAAGACAACAGTCATTTGTGCGTGGAACAAAGCCACGTTACCTAGCTAGCTAGTGTTGGTGACGGATATTGTGTGAGACGATTGATGTAGTTCACTGAGCGGTTTCCCACAAAAATAAATGGTACTACTTTTTTGACTTGCAATTATCTTTTAAATTGACAAACACCATCGGTGTAATTCATGGCACAATTTAAACGTGGTCAAAAAAATGATGAGTCTCTCGCCATTCACTATAGTACATCTTTTTTCTGAAATAAAGCTCCATTGGGGACAATAGAAGGGGATGGGACATCGCCTCACTTTAAGTCTGAGATAAAGTTAAAGTGTGACCAGTCATTAATTGTGCTTTAGTGTTTACAAAGTCTTGCCGTTGTTTGTTCACCATACCGTACATTTGTCTTCTTAGGACAAATTTTAATTTGAATACAACTACATAAATAGACAGTGCAATTACAACCCACAAATTCATCATGTTGTCATGTTTGGATATATAAGTTCTTGCACACGCAAGCAAACAACACTCACTAAAGGCTCTAATGGGATGTATTAATAATTGGCCGAGTGTTGCTGTTTGTGTCTAGACAGGCACCATCAGACACTGTGTGCCTCTGTGAAGTTTGGACATTAGCTCTAACGAACTTCAGACTGTCTGGACCGGCAGACAATTAAAAGTGCATTTTCCCTCCTAATGAGCAATTAACAGAGGGTGAGATAACAGAGAAAAGGCAGCAGGCAGCAAATCTTTTGGGTATTGCGTCTTTAGAGGAAAACAATCTTCACTTTGTCAGATTGTTAACCGTACGGGCAAGACTTACAATGCCGCTTAAAAGGGTATTACAAGTTAATCAGTTTGTGAATAACATGTTAGCCTTTCAATTAGATTACACTACAGGAAACAATAAAGGCAAACACACTCAAGGGATTAAATCTGCTTGGCTCAAGGTCACACCCAAATGCTCTCTCTGGCCCAACAGCTGAATTGATGCAGAGACTATGTCTCTTTATCAGACATCAAAGTCACAGCACCTTGATGTTTCCCCAAGGTTGCAGAGTAACAGCGCCACAGACCGACAGTGGGCTCGGACTAGTCCACAGCGTCGGCCATGTCCTGAGAACCTGACTGATTGCCTGCTTTATGGGAAGTGACCGAGAAAGGAAAGAGCCCATCTGCTCGGCCACGGAGCAGCCGAATCACAATGCAATTTGTTGTCTCTCCAACTCCAACTCCTGATAGCAGTCGGACGGGCACACAGGCAACTCTGAACACCAATGAATCGGAAGTGAGCTCAAATTATAATACGTTCTCACGTGGAGCCGCGGCGTAACAGCACACAGTAAATAAGTAAGTTCTGAGGTGACACAGAAAAAAAGATGTATCTCCTGCAAACACAAGCAGGGTCGTGCGCAGACATTTTGAGGTGCACTGGGGGCATTTTGTTTTAAAAAAGGTTTTCCCCCACATCCATTGTATTATCCCTATCCCTCCTGTTGAATGCTCATCTTGTCTATAACTGCATACTTCTAATTTTAATACAAGATATGGAGACTCTTTCTACCTCTGTCACCTTTTAAAGGGGGCATTGTCACTGTGATGGGCAACATTATATGATTAGCAAAAACGCTAACTTGCATCCAGGTAAATATCAAAATATCAAAAACCTAGAGTTTCCAATTGCTATATGATTACAGGAAAGCCCTGCAGCGCATAGTGAACACAGCTGGAAGGATCATTGGTGCCTCACTCCCCTCACTCCCCTCCCTGCAGGACATATATACGACACCCGCCTCACCCGCAAAATGACTATGATTTTGCACGACTCCAGCCACCCCTCACACAGTCTCCTCAGCCTCCTGCCCTCTGGGAGAAGATACCGGAGCCTCCGTGCTCGCATCACCAGACTCTCAAACAGCTTCGTCCACCAGGCTGTTAGGAAGCTGAACTCTCTCCCTCCTCTCTTTTAAGACTCTATGTCCGACTGCTGCTAAATACAGATTGATAGTTTTTTTCTTATTATATATATGTTGTCTAAATGTTTTTTTATCTATTTGCACTTTATTCACTTTATATGTTTATATGTTGGACTGGAGAGTCTTTTCAACTCCTCTGTATGTTCGGTACATATTGTGGAATTGACAATAAAGCTAACTTTGAACTTTGAACTTTGAATACAGTCTCTTTTTGAAAAACAACTACTTGGTTAGGTTTCGGGAAAGTATGTTTGTTAGTAAAGTACGCAATTGATATAAGTTTATAAAAGAAAAGTAAGTCAATGTTGACTTGGTTTCACACAGGACAAGGACAGCAGTCTACTGGGTGAAAGGCCTTTTTTTATTTAACCTGTCCAACCTATAATTCCAACCAACCCCTTAGACTTTTCTTTCTGTCTGTTGCTCTGACCGTCTAATAAAGATACAGATGGTTTACATTTGATGTAGTAGAAAGCTTCATACAGATACCAAAGGGTGCCTGGGTATCTGACGCAGAGGTTTGCTGACAAAGCGGCGTTTTTTGATGAGTTGGGAGTGAGGACAGGTTGCCTAAAGCTAGCGCTAGCAAGAATTTCCCAGGCAAGCATTACTATGAGACTATTTGTAATTTTCACAAGTCAGTAATGTATACCTGCCAACAATCCAGCAATTTAATTCAAAATATGCTATTCTAATAACCTTCACCAATTTTGCATAAAACCACAAATAAAACCACAAAAGAAGAAAATACTTCCCGAAAGATGTGTGTGTGTGTGTGTGTTGTGTTCTGTCTCCCTCTCACTGTGATGTGACAAGAGTACAACCAACTTTTGTGGTTGCTTGGAGTCATCGAAAAAGAAAATATCAAGGATTGTATTCTGCCTACTTCGGCCTGTCTTGTCAAACACACAAGAAGATACTGCCTCTGTAGCTGTTGGATGCCCAGTCACCTGACGTTATCATCTGAACAACAGAATTGCATTTGGTGTAACGGTGGGGTACTAATCAGAAATAAGGGCTGCAGAAGAGACAACGACAATCATTTTGTTAATAATAAGAAAACGTGCACTCAATACAGCGCAGAGCTCTGCAACAACCACAGTTGTCCTATAGCTGAGCACCCAACACTATGCAGTTTGCTGCAGCAGATTAGACAGGTTAGCCGTGGACAGACGCGGAGGTGCACATTCACACACGCGGGCAATCGCATGGTTCTCCTGGCAGAGATTATAATTGCAATAATCTGATCATTTCTATTAATAAACTTGGTCCACTTTAACTATTAGTGTGCAAGTTTTCACATCGAATTAATATTTTCAACAGACTGCAATGTA